GTAATCACTGGTTTTCGGCATTTTATTAGTAGATCGTTTTATCACATGACCGCATAATTTTGCAAAGAGCGATAATACTTGTTAACCTAAATATTCCATACTTTGTAATATATTTTCGTACTAATCTTTGTGTGCATTCAATCTAATAGTCAATTTGATTTAACATTCTTGAAACTAGTTATGGAATTTTCATGTTTCTTCTCTGTTAATACATAAAGTGCTTGACAGGCCCCTTCAAGAATATTTACATTATTTGGCCAATGTATCGTCTTTGTTTCTGATGCAGTAGAATTGGTAGAAACTTTTAAAACAAATTCTCGTTCCCCAACTTTTAGTTCTTGAACTTTTATCTCTTTTTTTCGAGCCCGGATGTATTCCAATATTCGATCACCTTTGTCTGGTTCTTCTGTAATATTATTACTATGACGTTTCCATTTCCATACTTGTATAGTGTTATGCGATATAATAAGTTGAGTACTTTTAGTAGAATCCAAGAAAACTGATATTCGTAAATATTTTTTGTTTGGTTGCCAAGGTTCAACATTGTCTATAATTAATTGATCGCATATTTTCCCATCTACAGTATAAATTACATGATCAACGCCACTCGTAGGAATATTAATTTCTTTTATTGCCTTCACTGAAGGATCTCTAATTGAAGCCACATCTTTATGATCTAATACTGAAAAAACATCTCCGCCATCTCTAACCGCAAACATATTTCCGGGAGAATTCATTAATCTATATGTGAGATCCATTTTTAGAGGTTTCTTAGTTTCGGAATAATCAATTTGACGTATGGAATTTTTAAATGTGGTAAATAAATCCCATACTACAAATATTTGATGATTCACAGAATCTTCACGCTGTCGATCTTCTTTTTCTTCAAGAACTATTAAAAGTTTACTATCATCATCAATAAAATTTACATCCAAAATTTTATAAATTCCTATTTGACCTTCTAATTGTTTAGTAGTTATTTCTAAACCATTTTCCATAGAATATAACGTAATGCTAGTAGCTTGCTGACAAAATGCTAAAATTTTTTCATTTTGAGAGATTGCAAAGATGGGAGAACCGCGAATCATGTTGGAAGCTACCAAATTTTCATAACGTTTAAATAACATCTCTAGATCACCAGTGATTAAACTATACATTTCGATGATTTGTTGTTCATTTTCAAAAGAATGTACTATAAAGTGGCTTCTAATAATACTTTTGTGTAAGAGCTTAAATGATTTTTCCCAGTGAATGCTTGAAAGACGTTTTGAAAGACGTTTTGAAAGTTTCTGGGGTAATTCGAATTGTTTAATCGTGGGTGAACGCGAGAAAAAAATTTTTCTTTTAATATGATTCATGGTTTCTTTATAAATTCCTGATACATTAACTATAATGAGTACTGTTCTGTTTTTTAACGGTTGATCACTATCATCTCCATTATTATTACTATTGCCATCATCACAATCACTATCGTCGCTATCAAGGAATCTTACAACACCGCCAATTGGTTCTGGTCCTAAATAAGTATACGTTTCTCCTTCATCTGTAATAGAGATAATCAATGTTTGAGGACGAAGATATTTATTACCAGATTCTAAGTCTTTTTCGTCATTTTTGTCATCACCATGAATTTCTAATTCTTTTGCACTAAAACAAGATAAAGCGATGAGACGTGATTTTTTATTGTCTACACAGTTAGATATTGCTATTGACCAACAAGGGAGATTATTAGTAACTCCTTCAGACGTAAAAGTACGTTTACTTGAACTCAAATCATCAATGTCATATAACTTAAATTCGCATCTATCTATTATTTTATGAATTATTAAAGATTTTTAAATAAATTATTAAAGACGAAAATAAATAATCGAATAATGATTAATAATTACCTTTACTTGGATTAAAAGTAACAATTTGTCGACTGTCTGGACTTATCGCTGTGCAATTACCGAAAAATTTATTGTGACTAGTTATCGATTTACCCGAGAAAACTTCGTCATTTTCATAATAATCTTTTTCTGACATGTTTTCTGAACATGACAGTTCAATGAAGTATATTTATATTCACTTTATATGTATATATATATTTTTATACAAGCACATGGTTGGCTTCGTTTAGGCTCTGATATACAGTATATGGATCAACGGTGCATCATTCAAATATAAACCTTATTGTAATTTACTATTCTAACTTTTGCATTAGGTTTAAAGAAAATACGAAAATGCCATTGGCATGCATGGAATGTCTGAAACCATAAGGTTTAGTACATTATATTTCATATAATTTACATAAAAATAAACATTGAATTTATATTCCAAAAAGTTGCAGTACAGGAGATATAGATACATAAATAGTTAAATTTTTTCGTGCGTAAAAACATTAATAAAATGTAACTTTATTGGAGTAATTATTTTTGGGTTTATATTATATTATATTATTTAATATTTAAATTTATAAATTTTATGAGATTTATTTCACATTATGAAAATTGCAAAATTAGCCATGATTTAAAATGATCAACCGAGAAGCTAGTTTTTGAGGAAACTTTATTATTTTCATTAAAATTTTCTGAAATTTTTGTAAAATGAAAGTTCATGGAAGTAAAGTAACATACAGTTGGTTGGCTTCGTTTAGGCTCTGATATATCATGATATGCACAAGCACTATTCATTATTTCTTTTTTCAGAATTTTGCATATTATATTTAAACGTTAAATTTACACACTGAAAAGATGCAGCTCAAGGTGCATATTCTCTGAATATCTGAATGTTTTTTAACATTAATTTAATTTATGTAATTATTTATGGTTTTTCTATTATATTATTTAAAAAAAAATACGTCACTCTAACTAAAAATGCCATTTGTATGCACAGAATGCATTCAAGTCCTATGAAAAATATTTATTCATTATTTCTTTTTTCATAAAATGCACATAAAAATGGACAATGGAATTTATACACCGAAAAGATGCAGCTCAAAGTGACGTAGAAATACCCATTATCCGAATGGTTAAATTGTTTCGTGCGTAAAACATTAATAAAAGCTGTAAAACATTTTATTTTATTAAGGAATTATAATTCTCAATTGACAGATTAAAAAGTTCTTGCACAACTATGGATTATTTGTATTTATCAAGTTTAATTATTTTTTTAATGACCTCTCTATATTCAATATTATCAAGTTTAATAAAAATATTAATTCAAATTTTTCTATATAATAACTCTATCTGATTTCCGGTTTCTTAAAAAAATAGAACGTATTTATAAAATGGATTCAGAATGGATTTTTGATCCAAATAAGGCAATAAAGATTAAGTGAAAAGATATTCGGATACGTAAACATGAAAATAAATATTATTTAAATGAAATTCAAATCTTTTTTTTAAGTTATGCATGTATGATAAAATCTATTCTGCTGTTGATTGACTAATCAATTAGGAAACGCATGCGTTCTGACTACTATAAATAGCAAACGAATCATCGATACGGTTAATATACTGTATAACATGTTTTTACGTAATATTACGAAATATTACGCCCAATTAATTTTCCTGATGATGAAAAAATGGTTAGTATTTATCGTTATTAGATATAAAAATACTGTAGATTGAATTATTACTTAATACTTCCAATTACTCAGAAAATTTTATTACAACAAGAATTTGGATAAGAGCATTTTATTAACTTGAATTTTTAGTTTGCCATTGTATATTTTACGATTTAGAAATACTAAAAATTTATATGCATTTAATAATAATCGATTACTGGATTAGAATTTAATCATCACCAATTAAAATATTTTGAGATAAAATTATCACGATAATATTATTAACTTTTGTGGAGGCAGTTCAGTATGAAAAAATAACCTCTTGTTTGTCAACACATAATTTGGTATTTCAGTAATTATAAAGGTTATTCATCATAAACATCAAGAAATAAAAATATTAAATTATTTTGATTCATCTTGTTTTCATTTATTTATTTTCAATTTGTACACTAACCTTTTCCCTTGATGTCATAAGTTCATTTCACGAAGACGATTTCCTTTATGAAATTTTCATTTACACCAATTTTAAAAATACAAATTTTACAAGTTCAACGTTTTTTGCTATCTAATATTAATTTCGAATAAAGAAAAATACCACATCGCATGAAAAAAAATTTATTTTTATGCAGATGAGCTGTTTGCTATTAAAAATCTCTTTGTACCAAATAAAATTCCAACGCGAAAATGTTATGACTTATTACCCACTAAAAATAAAATAAATTTCTTTTTTATTTATAAAAATAGTGTAATATATGAGGTCTTTTTTTACGATCACGTTCCAGAACAAGAATGGCATATTTGTTTCATTAAGGTCATAAAAATAATAATAATAATCATATTTTTAATCTCAAATAGTTGCATCAATAAAATAAGATAGCACCACCTTTTTAATATAAATAATAAATTATTTCACTGTTTTTCTTTTCCTTTTAGGGAAAAAAAGAAATTTTTACCTTTTCGGGACAAGATTTCCAGGTGCCGCTCTTGTCCGAAAAAGGGCAAAATTTCCTTCTAAATCATTCGAATCTATAAAAGTCAATTTTTAACTTTTCGGATTTGAATTGTCGCTCTTCTCTGAAAAAGGTAAAAAACTGACTTTTGTAGATTCGAATGATATAGAAGGAAATTTTTCCCTTTTTCGGACATGAGCGGCACCTGGAAATCTTGTCCCGAAAAGGTAAAAATTTCTTTTTATATATTTAAATGATGTGGTGCCCTTTTTAGATTTAGATGTTGCTCTTTTCCGAAAAAGGTAAAAATTACTATTTATATCTTTAAATGATATAGAAGGAAATTTTTACTCTTTTTATAAATGATTGTTGCTTCTAAATTTATTGCAAGTAACATACTTAAAGCTCCCCAAAAGCCTTTAGACTCACAAGCCTAGATGATTTAATAATATTTTTTAGACATCTAATTTCTAGTAAATCATTTATTAAATCTATTACTTTTAGGTAATTTAATAAATATTATTGTCAAATCATCTAAAAATAATATTTTTTAGATGATTAATTATTAAATCACCTAATAAATATTATTTTAGACGAAATGTTCATTAAATCGTTCAAAAAATAATATATTTTAGATGATTTAATTTAATATTTATTTAATCAGTCTAAAAAACAATATTTTTAGGTGTTTTAATAATTAATCGTCTAAAAATATTATTTTTTAGACAATTTATAGACAATTAATTATCAAATCGTCTAAATATTATTTTAAGACGAAATATTTATTAAATCGTCCAAAAAATATTCAATAAAGTATTAAATATTAATAATATAATTTGATAAATATTTAATAGATGGAGCTACTGACAATCTATGAAAGGTAATTTGATGACTGCAACTTAAAGAATTAATCGTAAGACTTCAGACTTTTCTTGTTGAAAATTATCCTTGGTTAAAATTAAATTTTTCAAAAATTTAAGTTCAAGTTTTCGATAAATTTTAAAGCACTTCAAAATTATTATTGCAATGATATAATATGATATAATCCCAAAACATCCTAACACGAATCAAATGATTTTAATACTTTTCTATAAGTAGCTTGGGTGGATGATTTTGCAATTTGAAAATTACTTGTCAACAAGATGTTTACTCCAACATTCGACACTTTCAAATCCAATGAAAATATTATGTTAAAAGTATTTTCATATCACAAATTCTTGATGAAAAATTATTGGCTGATAATTTAAAATATTCTATAACGTTATCAATCACCAACTTGTAAAATAATCACTACCCAGCTTCCAATTCGCGGATATGCTTTTCAAATTAAATCATGAACATGCAGCTGAAATTGCATCTTGGATTGATAAGCATACAATGTTAATAATGATCCATATGAATGTAACCTTGTACTAGAGATGTATTCGAACCTAAAGTATTTTAGAAATTACGCTATCAAAAAATAAATGTTGTTGGATAAAAATTAGGAAGATTATTAATAGCTTGCAATTCTTACATAACTTTGAATGAAATTTTTGATATTTCTATTTTTCAAAAACTTTCATTAGTTTCAGAATATTGATTCATAAAATCAAGAGTTCCAAGAATATCATCAGTGTCTTTAACTTTCACACTTTTATGACAACAAACAACTTTTTGCAATAATTTTGTTACATTCGGAAATCGAGAGTTTTAAAACGAAGAGCATGGCTATGAAAAATCAATTAGGAAAAAAATTTGGAGAATTTTTGACAGATGATTATGAAGTTTTTCAAATAAAAAAATATTTATTTTAATTTATTTATAAAACCAGTTTTAAGTCCATGGTTGTTTGGGATTCGAAATGCATTATCTTTTGGATATTTAAGATAAGTAATAGGTGGATATTGTCCTTCTTCAATAATTTCATTTGTGTAGCTTCTCCCCGATTCAGAAAATTCAATAGTATTTCGCTGGGTTATTTCATTGATTTTTTTCCTCAGTTTGTTGTTCAGTTTAAGTTTGGAAATTCTTTTCTTTTTTTCATGTCTTTAGAGAAAAGAAAAATGGTTAAAAGTCGGAAAAAAAGGAAAAAAAAGGCTTGAATAATTTAATAATGAAAAGGGTTGCATAATAGCGAACATTTTTATTGAAATCTACTTAATTTACTTCAATAGATGATGGTAGCAACGACAGAACGACATAACATGTTTTATTTTATTTTTAATAATATACAATCAATATTAATCTGAAAAATATAAATTTACCCCTTCTCCCTCTTCTCGTCATTTTAATTGTCATTTATTAAGTTGTTTGCTTCTATATCATCTATATCATCATCGTCGCTTTTATTATTTGCTTCTATACTATCATCGTCGCTTTTACGCTGTGTTTATCATAAATTTAAATATTATATAAATGAATTGCATCGAATTATTAAAATTCATAAAATCAATAAATAATAACTTTAAATTAGCATTATTATATACCAAGATACTTTTAAAAAACGTCCTCAGGCCCCCAATCAAACTGGCTTGTGCAATAAGCCCAGCTACATGATTAGCATTTTCTTGCGTTGCAGCAAGCCGAACTACCGAATCAACAATAGTTTGCGGATCCTTCGAATCAGGCTGTTGCCTCTTAATAGAGTCTACAACAAGATCAACCACATGATTAACATTATTTTCCGTTATAACAAGCCGAAACACCGAATCAACAATCTTTTGCCTTTTCTTATAAGCTTTGTTAATACAGATAATAATACAGGTAATAAATATCAAAACTACTATTCCTATTCCAAGTCCAATCAGTAATGGTTTTATCGCTCTTTGCAAAATTATGCGGTCATGTGATAAAACGATCTACTAATAAAATGCCGAAAACCAGTGATTACA